GATTTCATTATTTTTATTTCATTCATATTTATATATTTTTTATATTTAATTTTTAGTGCTATATATTTCTTTACAATGTACGCTTAGTATCATTATTATTATATTATCTATGTTTACATGTAAGAATAATAGTAAACACAATAATAATAACTCATTATGTTTCAATTTTTCACTCCAAAAAAATGTCTATAGTGTATCTAAATCTAATATGGGGATATATAATTTTATATGTGGCCCGCGGAGTTATGATGCATTTCCAAAGTGGCCCGAAAGATCATTTGGGTTGGCCACCCCTGCTCTATATAGTAGCTGTAACGATCCCATCCCTGTTTTAATCAAAAGGCGTCTTGGCATTAATTTCGAAAACGTTAAACATTTGGCTCTCAAATCCTTTACTCTAAAGTAGATTTTAGAAAAGTGTACAGAAGGGTTCATGCTTCCTGGGGTATATGTCTTAATAAAATATATTTTCTCGGCAGAGTTCCCCAAATCGTCAAGGAGAAGGGTGTGGACTCATCCTCCAAGCAATAAAATTGTAGGATATTTAAGCGAGAAGCTGAGAATAATCTTCTCATTAACGAAGACAATCTTCAAGAGATTTTTGTCATACATCCTTGATTAGAAGTCCTTGGCCCGCATCTGAAACAGGTCCATGGGGGAACTGAGGTTTTCGGATGGTACACACTTTTGAGGACCAAACCATTCAGAAATTATATAAATTAATGTAAAAAAAATGTGGTGATTTATATCACATCAGCTCGGTGTTCCCGGTCTACGTACACATACAATTAACGAATCTGCTATTTAGAGCTTTGTTTTATAACATACGACATCAAAATGAAGGCAACTAAGAAAAGTTTGCTAATTTTGTGTATCGTACGAAACCACTTTTAAGACATGACAATCATAAACGTAATTAATGTAATTTTATTAATCATTTATTTCAGAATGTTACGTATAATTTCTTAGCTTTTATAACTCATTAGATAAATTTAAATTACAGCGATGTTCACTTCTCACCTATTCTCTAAGTCGTTTTGAAGTCAATAAGGAAAGGAAAAGAAATTAGCAATGATGTGCGTTGGGGGATTGTGGTATTCCTATACTCTGTTCAGAATCTCTTGTACGAGGTGCGATCGGAAAGTTTCTAGACTGCGCGTATAAAAACCCGTACACTTATCTCAGGTATTAAATTCATCCATAACCCTCGAAGTAGTTCCCCTGGGAGTGAACACAACGATCCCAGCGCCGCTGCCAAGCCTGGAAGCATCCCTGGAAATCTTTCTTTGTCAGCCTGTCAAGCACCATCTGCGATTCTGCCTGAATCTCTCCTATCGTCTCAAATCTCCTTCCCTTTAGCTGAATTTTCAACTTTGGGAAGAGGAAGAAGTCACACAGAGCTTAGAAAGGAAGTTGGGGTCGGTTCTTGCAAGATCTTTAAACTCCTGACAAACGAGAAGTCGATTCTGCTTCTAGTCCTCTGACAGGATGCGTCGCATGTGGAGTTCATCCTTTAGAATCAGCTGACAGGTCCCATAGCCTATCCCAACAATGTCGCACAAATCGTTGATGGTACGACGTCGATCTTCGTAACATTTTCGGGCGTTGTGCTCGAAGATGGTCGTCCAGAACGCTCGTCATCATCGACAGAGGTTCGGCCATTTTTAAAACGTGAATGCCACACAAAAGTTTGCGGACTCCCCAAATGCTTGCTTTAGCATTTCATAGGTTTCCGTAGCCGTTTTGGCGAGTCTTTGGCAAAATTTGATGCACACGCCATTCCGAAATCGCAGGAGGGTCGGTGTAATGCACTACCAAAACGCCCGTAACAAAGAAACAAATGCTATCCGTTATTGATGGGTCCTGCGAAACTGGGGTTTTCCTGGCGGCGAGCCCTAGGATTCTGAAATGTGTTGTAACAAAATGCAGTTTCGTAGAACATTTCGCCTTCACATCCAATTACATTTTTTTTTCAAGTACTTGTCGACAGAAAAGAGCCAATGGTCAGACATTGGAAACAAAAACAATAAAAACATAAAATTTATTACAACACGCCATTATAAATCTGCCACCGCACAAGGCTACAAATTTTCTTCGAACACTAATTCCTAAAACAATTTATTTTATGTAAGAAACAGCAAGGTTAATAATTACAGTCGCCTTTCAGTACTCGAGAGTGAAGATAAATGAACTGTTTTTTGGTGATATAATTGAGCGGAAAAATGTTACCAATTTCTAAACCCACCAGAGACGCCATAATGGCGAGTATTCATCGCCATCTTGGAACAGTTGAAGCTCTTCTCGCAGACATCAAACAGCAGCGTTCTGACGTCACAGCGGACAACATGAAGTCGCTTTACGAAACGAGATACGCTCCTGACCACAACGTGTCCCGAGAAAACAGGTGAGTGTGTGGTACTAATTAATGTTTTTGGAACCAGTTTCAATGCGAGAGCTAGCCTTCATTTGGAAATGCCCAAGGCACCAGAGGTTGTACGAATTCCAAGGATGCAAGACAAGTGTTTATCCAGCGCAGGATTTTCCAAACAACAGCTGGACAGACAAGACCCCGCCCATCCTAACACGATCCACGACACACAGCCTTATTATTATACTTAGATTTCTAAGATTATGGGTGAGACGTAAGACTTTTGCATATAAAAATTAAAGTAAATGTATTAAAATTACATCAGGACAACTACCACGAGACTTTTCGATATTGAATACTACCCTTTTGAAAAGTTCTGTGAACAAAGAAGCTTATTCCTGGCTTTTTTAAAGACGCGTTCAGTTGCGATGTTCATTCAGCGTCGAACAGTCGGTTAATTAGTGAGTAATTAATTTGGAACGGACGGTGAAGGAAGTGATTTTGACAGGAGAAATTGAAGTTCGATCACGAAATATCTGTCGAGATAACGGGTCTCCGAGTCGATATTTGAACCCGGGATATCAAGAATAAGAATCAGGAGTACTAACCACTCGACCACGACGTCTGTTCAACGACGTCCTTCGGTTGAAAATGTTAATATACAAAATAAATGAGAAACAAATGTAAAAGTTTTGTTTAGGAGTACAATTTGTCCCCCGGAGTAAAGTGGGTAATTCTAAATTCGATCCAATTTATTTCCAAAACTCATACACTACAGCATAGCGGCGTTAAATCTTTATATTCTGTTATCACAGTGATAATAGCCTGATTTGGCTTTGTTTAATGTAGTCTTATTGCCTTAGTCTACGTCAAAGTAAACCTATAAATTAAAATTTTAGCGTCACATTTAAAGACAGGGAAAAAAAGAGCTTATAGAGAATTTGAAAAATAAAACAGGCCTAATCAACTAAGAATCATCAGTCTCAGGGTTAGTGGATCTGCTCAAGGAAACTTCACACCGACCTTCCACGGTGAACAGCTGTGCACAATAGCAGTTTCTTGGATTGTGCAACTCCTAATCCACTGAAATGTACAAACCCTAACCTACATTTTTATTAGACCGTGTATAAATATTCTTTACATGGTTGCTTACGTTATTCTGAAATTTTAATTAAGAACAAAGAACGATCTTTTACAAAACATGACACAGTCCCAGTTTCAACAGATGACCCTTTAAAGGACAGTGGCCTGTTAATAGTCTTAACTAGGATCACCTCAGTATTAATAGACCTCTATTTATTGACAGAAACCATCCGAAAATCAGTGACCAAGTCCTCACTGTCAATATTTCTGAATTTTCTGTTCAACCAATCCCAGACAGCCACTACATGAATATTATGACAGTAGGAATCGATTGTAGCCAACAATTTATGTAAACTACTTTTATGCTGTTCGAGTTTTAAAACCACCTGGATAAATGTGTATTTCGTAAACATAAGTATTTAAATTTTGAAACCTAAATAAACAAAGTTACACACTTAGAAAACAAATTAGTGTTTCTAATCTTTGCACTAAACATCAGTTTTAAAAATTCCATACTTCGATGATGCAGTACAGTTGATTTAAGTACACATTTTCATTTCATCCTCTAGTCTAACAGCAAATCGCATCCATTTTGCTAAATTTTTAAGCTACAGAATTACAGTTTTAATGAGTTCTTAAGACTCAAGACAGCTGTGGTAATACCTGCTTATGTCAATTACAAGTTGTGTTTGACTTGTACAATTATTAATTTACCTGCATTATTCTTTTAAATAATAAATTTAAATGTTAAATTTTATTTCGTAATTAAAACTCACGTAACAAGACCATGAGTAATCCTTTGATCCATGTATTACAAACGCGTTACATCGTTATGTGACAGAATTAAGACAGAAACTCCAATATTTTAATTCAGAATAAAGTCAAAGTGTGATTAATGACTATCTTACAAAAGGTGAAATTCAGCTTAGTTTGAAGATGGCTGTCTTCTAGCTTAAAAGGTCGTGTAGTCTGGTAGAAGTATCCCGACGTTTCAGAGGGTGATTCAGTTTACTTTCACTCATAAAATTTTGAGCCAGTCACTACGTACGCTGCAAATTGCATAGACGAAAACGTCGGCTATTATTTATGAGATATAAATTTTAATTTTATTATTACCCAACTGCAAGACATGTTTAGAAGCATACCAGCGTTCCTCACTGAAAGACTCTGGTTTGCAGAAACCTGTTACGGAGCGCTGACTTTGTCACCTGAATGGAATCGAACGTGCCGAATGCCGACTCTGACCGGGTTCATTCATCCCGTAAATCACGAGATCTACAGACGTGGACTTCGTCAGAAACATAAAACCTACAATTTCACATTGCTTACCCGACAAAATAAACAAATCCGATTACCGTCGCTAATTAAATAAATTATCACAATTTCTTACAACCTTACTAGCTGTCATAATAAAATAAATAACAAGATAATTAGTATAATTAATTAGACTGAATCATTTCGGGTAGTGACACTGTATCGTATTATCGTTTACTACTGTTTTCAAGGCAGTTCCTCCGAAACGTCGGTAACCACCTACAAAACTACGTAGATTCACAACACAGGAATCCATAATCCAAACCGTTCTCATTCTATAATATTTTATTCTTTAAGACGCAAAGAGAGGTAGATTTAAAACTGGATTAATATTAGTTAATGACAGCCACATTTTTAAAATTATTAGCCTTAATTTAAAATCTATACGAATATTTTGCTGCTGTTGGACCAAAATGAGGAAGGCCGGACACAGAACGTTTTATCGAAACCGGAAGAAGATTTTGGGAGATGAAACACGCGGACAGATGGATAGGCAGACAAATAGCCCGACATGACCTCCATATTGCATATTTCGAATTAATTAGTGTATTTAGCTAATAAAATTTAACAAGAATCAGCCATATCTTTGATGATTCTTTCCTGACAGACGCCAGGATCAAGATAACAGTCTGAGAGATCTAGGCTCAGAGGATGGCTATCTGTGTCCATCCTCCGTCAAGTACGCAAGACCTAAACGTGCAAGAACCACGAGTGGACAGTGGAAGTTCATCGTAAACGCTGGAGATTACACGCAAACCCTTCGACTTGAGATGTGCCAGTGAGTAACGACGTCTAATTAGCCGCTAATTAGTGACTAATGAGAGAAGGAACGTGTAGCACGCATGGGGTAGATGAGTAATTTAATCGGAAAACTTCGAGTGAAGAAATTACTTCAAAGATCTAGGTTAAAATTCTGTTTGAAAATGGATCATGTGGTGTAATGGCGTGGACTGGATTAAAGTGACCCAGGTCGGGGTAAGATGGTGGATTCTAATAAACACGATAATGAACCTTCGGTTGCATAAAATTAGGAGAATTTCATGACAGGCAGAAGGACTCTTACACCACTGAGACTAGTGGTATTCAACCTTTTTTGTTCGCGTACCCCCAGATATAATTTCTGTTCAACTTTGTACCCCCAAAGTTGTTGGTGTATAATTCAAGTTATACATAGTATATAATCTACATCTAAAATAAATTAAATAAATTACATTACTGATTATTCAGTGTTTATCATAAAATAATATATATTTTTTT